TTGCAGCTGCCCTCACTTAGGGCACCAATGCCTTACTAGCCCGCAGGATTCCAGGCTCTCACATGCCCCTAAATTGTCAGAAGCTAGAGAGAGAGAGAGAGAAACCATCCTGCTTATCAGAATATACACCCTGCTTCTCAGGGCCATTGTAATGAGCTCAGACAACCTTGAGAACAAGAAGGGAGTACGAGGCGCACCAGGTGGGAGAATGAGAGGTACTAGAGAGCGATGCAGGGAAACAATTCTACCCATAGAAATAAAAACACACAATGTAAGGAGAGGCTACTTCCCTCTCTTGGGTCAGCTCACTCCATGTCTCGGAGTGTACTAGCTTTTACTAATAAACTTCTTGCAGTTCTATGCTGCACAAACTGTGTCTTGACTGAATTCTTTCCTTCAAAAGGACAAAGAGCCGAGGTATCACATCATTCCCAGTAACAGTAGTGACCAGAACCTAAAAAGTATTGTAGAAAAGACAGTTATAGTTTTTTATAATTACAGAGGTACTTGGTTTAACACTTCCAAACTTTGCAATCCACAGTAAGAAACATTCTCCATCACAACCCATTAAACATTTATTTACAGTGAATATATATAGATTTATGGATATTAAATAGTTTTATATATTTAACTGAAGCAAGTATTATAAAGCAACTCCCTTACTATACATATATGATGCTCAAAGTTTTTCATTCCATGCTCTTTTTAAATTAGGGAATATATTCATTTTGGAACAAGTACTATTTATGATACACAAGCCAAAAGAATAAAAAAGGATGAATGGCAAAAATTCTCATCTCTTTCCCAGGGACTCCCTTCCCTGTTAGCAGCTTCCTGTGTATCTTATATACAGGTATAGCTCAAAGATAGTGTGGGTCCTGTTCCAGACCACTACAATAAAAAAAAATACCGTAATAAAGTGAGTCACATGAATCTTTTGGTTTCCCCGTGCATACGAAATTTGTTTATACTATAGTCTATTAAGTGTGCAATAGCATTATGTTTAAAAAAATGTAATGTTGATCATTTTATTGAAACGAGAATGAAGAGGGACTGCTTAATGGGTACAGGTGAATCTCCTTTAAGATGCAGACGGGGAGTGCCAGTTATTTCTCTGCCAGTCATTGCCTCTTACCCTCCAAGCCTCCTTCTTAAAGGAGCGCCTATCCTTGGCCTTTTCTCTGAACTTCTCTGGCTAGTGGGTTGGTAGCCACCAAATGAGCCCAACTGCACAGAACAGATTCTTCCCACAATTTGGGACTCCAAGGCTTTGATTTGGGGACGCCACTCATGAATGCCTATAAGGGCCAGACCAGTCTAAGGATGAGCCAAGTGGGCCAGGGCACAGAGTGGTGTGCACTGTGGAAAACCCAGCAGGAGATGATCCACAGGAAACCCTGAGCCAAG